AACTGATTTCTAATATAAAAGAACAATGATTGGTATGTATTATTTTGTCTTTATCACAGTTGTAAATAGGTGACAGTTACAATGTGGCACTGATGTACAACTAGGATGGGTGAGGCTGATCGGTTTGAATTTTAATTGTTAAATTCAAGATTCTAGGCATGGCAGAAGAGTTTTTGCTATTTAATTTTTATTTTGTGTAAACACCTTTATAGAACTACCTAAAGCAGAGAGCAAAATACATCCAGTTGAAGGAGCCAAACTGGAGCTATGGAAAGTTGGACTGAATGCGCTGCAGTTATGTATTGAGAAGGTAAGACATTTATTTATTTATTCATTTGTGACTTTTTTTGACTAATTATTAATGCATTATATCAGATCCCTGTTCTGAAATTAAAAGTCATTTCATTTAGCTCATTATATGATCTTAATGTGGAATTTTTTTATCCACTCTCAGGGATTTCAATTGAACCCTTTCATCAAATGTTTATATGATTTTTGAAAAATGTATTATTTTTCTATTAAATGTAAGCCTGTCAGTAAGTATTGAGTGTTTCTTATTTAACTATGTGTAACCCTATTTCCAAAAAAGTTGGGACGCTGTGCAAAATGTAAATAAAAACAAAATGCAATGATGCTTAACACTGAGATTAATAGCTGATCATCACATTGATTTATGAGTCTACTCAGGCTTTAGCAGAGCTCAGTAACACTGAGATTAATAACTGATCATCAAATTGGGTTATCAGTCTACTCAGACTTTAGTAGAGCTCAGTAACACTGAGATTAATAACCGAACATCACATTGATTTATCAGTCTACTCAGGTATTAGCACAGCTCAGTAACACTGAGATTAATAACTGATCATCAAATTGGGTTATCGGTCTACTCAGACTTTAGTAGAGCTCAGTAACACTGAGATTAATAACCGAACATCACATTGATTTATCAGTCTACTCAGACTTTAGTAGAGCTCAGTAACACTGAGATTAATAACCGATCATCACATTGATTTATCAGTCTACTCAGGTATTAGCACAGCTCAGTAACACTGAGATTAATAACTGATCATCAAATTGGTTTATCAGTCTACTCAGACTTTAGCAGAGCTAACAATCAGATTAATAACTGACTCATCACACTGATTTACAAACCCATTTCCTAAAAACCTGGGGCAGTAAGTAAAATGCAAAATTGAATTGAAAAAAAGTGATTTACAAATCTACTTTGACTTGTATTTTAACAAAAACAGTACAAAGACAAGATATGTAATATTTTACCTTATCAACATTTTTTTTGTAAATATATATTGACTCTGAAACTGATGCCTGCTACATGTTGGGACAGAGGCAGTTTAAGACATGGAACATTGTGAAATGTTCAAAAACTACAGTAACCTTTCCACAGCTATGCTGTACATAAAGAGAATTTTCTCTAATAATTCACTCTAGCCTCACTACGTCTTCCATCTCAGCTGTCAGTGCTAGACTGATACTCAGTTCTTCCTGATCTACACATGAACACATCCAGCAGGCTAGCCCTGCCTTAATAAGAGTCCTTATCGAATAACCCAGTGAATAAATGCTGTAGAACAGTTAACCTAGGGTTAACATGTCAATAACATTTCTTTAACACGCTACACTATACATAATTTAGTGAATACGTATTCTAAAAGTATTCCCCTAAAAAATTAAAAGTATTCTGTATAGTTGTATTCCATTACATCCCAACCTAATATATTTTATGTGGAAATGATGTGCACATTTAAATCACCCTTTTCAGGGTATTGATGCAGGCTTCCTCCATTTAGATAATTAGCTTTTATTGATCACATGTAGTAATAGGTCTTCCAAAGGTTCCATTTCTCGGCCACATACACCATAAGCACCATCCCATTTCAAAAGAACACAGAGGATCCTTGAAATTGATCCTTCTTTTGGCTGAATTCTGAGGTTGCATTCATGTCAGAGCCAGTTTATATGAGGCACAGCCTCATATAATTCTCCTGTTGTATCAAAAACAGGAGTGCAAAATGCCAGAGGGTGCCTGTGAGCGAGTCCTCAATGAAAGGGGGGTGAATGGAGCTACATGGTTAAAAATTAAAAAAATCACTTGCACAAAACTTTCCTTTTTAGAAAATAGAAGAATGTATTTCACTAAAAAAGATGCTAGCATTACTGCTACTGACTGCTGATTGGTTGGTGAGCGGAGCCACTCATTGGCTGTTTGCACTCACTGACGTCATGAACTTTAAAGTTTTAAACTTCGATAAATGGAGTTCAAAATATAACAGTGGTGTTAAATTGTTTTTTCAGGAATTGAAATATCTTTTACATTAAAAATGTTTAGTAATATAATGTTTTTGCTCAAATGTTCTATCTTTACCCATTCATTTTGGACTCGCTCGGGAGCACGTTCTAGTGTTTGAGAAGCCCGTATGCAGGGTTGGGATAGTGAAAAATTAGTAGCTATTAGTATTTTCCCAAAATTTGTAGCTAGCTACAAATGAGCTACTTTTCCTGAAAAAGTAGTGGCTACTTTTTGGCTACTTTTTGAAAAGTAGTGCACTACTTTTTAGCTACTTTCAAGTGCGATTGTCAGAATGTTTGTGAATCTCCACCTGACACACCAAACAAGCCCAACTGAAAATGTGAACAAGACACTGCATTTAATGTGTCAGAAAGAAACCTACAATTGAAAGTAAGTAAGTGAGTTTAAGTGTAACCAACAATCAAACTTACACAACCAAAGGCGTGATGTCCAACAAAAATTTAGACTAAATGAAAAGTCAATCATTCCAGGTTTTTCCTAACAAAAATCAACAAGAATAACCAGATACAAACCAAACAACTTTTCAACTGTTGAAATAAACTGCTCCAATTTAAACATTTCAACAAGATATTTACAGAGATGACATTCAGAATCCTTTGTTAAACTTCAGCAACACTTTAGCGCCATTTAAGGTGGAACGGGAAAATTCGAACAAGAAGCTGGCAAACGAGAAGCGACTTCAGCCTCGTAAAAAGTAGAACATTGCGAGACATTTTACAAGAAACTCTAGCTATTTTCGCAGAAAAGTTTCTTGCCTGAGATAGGAGAAAAGCGGCTATAGCTAATCTAAAGGTTAAAGCAGAGCAAAGTAAGTCTGTGTTTATATTACATTTTTAGCCTATACTAGTACATACTGAGACATATTTACAGCCATGATGGTAAAATGGACACACAATTTTGTGGCTCCAAAAGTGGTCTCATTTTTGCTGAAAGGACAAAATGGCTCTTCTTACTGTTTCAGTTGCCGACCCCTGAGCTAAGCCTGCTAATAAAGGGTGATCAGCATGTGGGGCCAGTGTGTGACCGTTTGCTCAGACTTTGCTCTTTTAGCAGCTGTAGCCAGTCAGCAGCCTGTCCATGCTGTCCACCCACACACACATATACAAACACATAGACACACAGACCCACACACATTAACAGCAGGCCATGTAGAAGGAGAACAGAATGAAGGGACACAGTACCTCCACACTTTTATTCCCCACGTTCACCCCAACACCACATGTGTAATATAAATGTGTAGAGGGGTGAACAGCATGAAGTCATTGAACATTTTATATGTTCTTTACAGAAAATGAGCGAAGGACAAGGAATCTGCGGTCACATAATTTTTATTTTGGTAAATATTGAAAATGGGTCCCACAGACCTGAACACCACACAGTGGTTAAATGTATGTTGCCCCCATTTATTTGTGAAAATTAGTACCAGTTTACAACATAAATGGCTGAGAACAATCTGAACAAGCATCCTGTCTTTATATGGACAACCAGCTATATTTCAGTATTGATGTGAAAAGTTGTCAGTTTACAATATCGCTAGGTTTAACTAAAACCTGTAAGGTAAAGTGTTAATATTTTAGCTTAGACAACGAACAGCAAGGTAGGCAAAGCTGCAGCTGAACCCAAAACGGAGCTCTTGATAAAAATATAACAGGCGAAAGCAGGCTAACGCTACTAGCCACAGCTAACTAGAACTAGATCTTCACACAACTTCAGTTGTGATCTTGCAGTCACTATGGTACCCGTGGTGGTTGATAGGGTGTTGCTAGGCAGTTGCTATGGTATTCCAGGTGGTTGCTAGGTGGTTGCTATGACATTCCAGGTTGCTAAGGTGTTGCTAGGTGATTGCTATGGTATTCCAAGTGGTTGCTAGGCAGTGGCTAAGCTATCCCAGGCAGTTGCTAAGGTGTTGCTAGGTAGTTTCTATGGTATCCCATGCAGTTACTATATTGTTGCTAGGCAGTTGCCATGGTGTATGGGGTGTTTATTTAGTTGTTTGTGGGGAGTTCCCGAGTGTTAGCAATGTGCTGTTGAAAATGAACAGAAGTCTAGTTCAGGAACGATGGATAAAAAAACGGCACATGGAGGAATATGAAGTAATAGAGTCTGTGTGGTGGCGAAAATGAATGGGACTCTATGGGAGTAAAAAAGGGATGAGAAAAAAAATGACAAACAGAGGAGTGCAGGTCAGAACAACTTTGAATACATGCTCAGGGGCCTGCCCTGAGATGATATATGTAAAACAGGGCGTGGCCTTATTTGTTTATTTTTTTTAACAAGCTCTCTTTTTATTTACCTTGATAGCTGCCTTTCTCACCTCTCCCTCACTGTTCAAACCCCTGATCGGGGGTCAGGATTCTGACACTGCTGCAGTTCTGAATCCTCGGTAGGCCGGCTCATTTGGCGCTGTGGAAGCAGAGGAGGATCCTCCGCAGAGCGCTGCTGCTAAGGACGCTGCTAAGGACGCGCTCTACCTAACAACGGTCCTTTAACTGAGCCACACCAGTGTCTGTCTCTGCAGCACTGGCTTTTGGGGGCTAAACCCGTCTCATCTGAATGACATCACTAGAGCTGTGGCAGGGAGCTCCACTCCCACTGCAGTGTGTCTGCACTCTGTTTTGTTCGAGCCTCTCTTTCCCAGCTTCTCTCTCTCTCTCTTTACCTCTCACTCTCTGTGTGTGAGTATGGGGGATGCAGCAGTGGAGCCTGCTTTGGTGCAGACTCTAGCACTGAGTGTGGTTAAAAGCTCCAGATACATTTCTCTATCTCCCTCCTTCCAGCGCTGCTCCCTGTCCTCCTGGATTAAAGAGAACATCAAGAAGAAGGAGTGCTGCTACTTTGTGGAAGATGGCAGGTACATTTCTGTGTTATTTGTTTTTGTGTTTGTTTACGTATTCTGCCTGAAACAGAGAGCACTGGGGTTCTTTCAGTTGACCTTGCATGTTGTGCTGAGTAATACCAGCACATAAATTGGTCAGAATAATCTGAGCGAGGCTAGGAAACAGACTACACAGTGAAAAATGGAACAGGGCAGAGGTTGATTTGAGATGCTTTGGGGTCTGAATTGGTATAAAATATTACTTTTTGTTCATGACAGCAAAATAGTGCTAAATCTGAAAAAATAGGTTTTTGTTGGGACTATTTTCTCTTACAACAACCTGCATGTGCCTCTCCACCATAAATACATACATACATACATACATCATCTAAACCGCTTATCCTTCTGGGTCGCGGTGGGGTGCTGGAGCCTATCCCAGCTGTCACTGGGCGGAAGGCAGGATACACCCTGGACAGGTCGCCAGTCCATCGCAGGGCAGACAGACAGACAGACATACACACACTCACACCTAGGGGCAATTTTAGCACGTCCAATCAGCCTGACTGCATGTTTTTGGACTGTGGGAGGAAACCGGAGTACCCGGAGGAAACCCACGCAGACACGGGGAGAACAGGCAAACTCCACACAGAAAGGACCCTGGTCGCCCAGCTGGGAATCGAACCCAGGCCATTCTTGCTGTGAGGCAACAGCGCTACCCACTGCGCCACCGTGCTGCCCCTCTCCACCATAAATGCATTTAAAAAATAAAAAACAAATATTGGGCCTAAAGTTTATTTCAAAACTTAAGGTAAACAAAATCTCAGGCTTCAAGTAAACTGTTTGTAACCATTTAATGGTTCATAGCTTTTGGAGGCATCAAATGCTTTGGATGTCTGGTTCCCATCACCACCACTGTGAACAATTGTGACTCTGTATGTGTCTCCAGAATGATGCATTTAACATCAAACTACTCTGAATGGTTATTTTAACATTTTAGCAAAATCATTATGCAGAAATTTTGAAATGTTGGTGTAATTCCCCTTCAAGGTTCTTTAAGGGACTAAAAGTGATTCTTCTATTGCATGGCTCTTTTTAATTTTAATAGTGTGTAGTGTATCTCATCACATTTAGTTTTAAATGTCAGTGTTAAAGGTGCTTTGATCTGGACAAACTAGATTTGAGTACTGACGGTGTTCTACATGACCACTCACTCATCCAATACATTAGTAGTTCTGAACCACTGACTATGTCACCATGTTCATGCTGTCTCCATTAAAAAAGTACAGCTCTGTTAACTATTCTGTTGGTAGTTGGCCAGTGTGTGTGCCGTGTTTGTATTGTCGGGCAGTAACCCATGTGTGAATGTGGATTACTCCACACAGAGAGGGGATTTGTATGTGTGGCTACCCAAAGGTCCACCACACTGATGAGGCCATCAAGCCGGAGGAATTCATGGGGGAGCAGTGGGACCAACACAGACATGTTAGACAGGTCCCCACTGATGCATTCGGTGACATCAACTTTGGAGGAATCGGACAGAAAATAGCAAAGGTAAAAGAACATGTGGACTTTTTGTGAAGGGCATACAGAAATGTACTCTCCTGAATGTGTCTCCATGAAATTTCATTAAAATTCAAATGCGTTACAGTAGAGATGCCGCCGATCTAATACCAGCCAGCAGTACCAGGCCAATATCAGGAGAATATTGTCACTGTTGAAACTAAACCTCGTATCTCCAAAATGGTAACTTTACAGGAGAAGGAAAAAACCATCTTAAACTTGTAATGGAGGTTAATGTTACAAGATTTTTTCCAAGTAATTTAGTCCATTTCTATTGGTACGTTTATTATGAAATTTTAAGGCAATGCAAAGAGTAACTAGAGTTTTCACATTATGCCTAAAAGTAAACAGCAACAAAAAATGGATATACAAGGTTTTTTGTGCAACAGCAGCAACATGCTGAATTGGATATCGAAGGAGGGTAAAATGAATACTTGATCCAGTCCTGTAACAACTCTGTCCTGAAACAGCACTCATTCACACTGTGTGATGTGATGTTGTTGGCTGTGTACAGTTGTATGCAAAGCTGTATTAATGTATGTCCCATAGTTTTAAAAGAATTTTCATCTAAAAGCTTATATATGTGTATGTATTTATACATAGTGTAATCAATGCCTACATGTTACAACTTATTTTCAGAATAAAATTTTTAATTTCACAGTATATCTTTGGAAACGTTGCCCCCCCCAAAAAGTAGCTTTTGTTTAGAAATGTAGTACATTTACTGAAATCTACAGTGAAATATTGAGCTGGAAAATCGCAATCATTGTATCATCCTAATTTTTCTGTTTTCCAAATTAAGTCTAAATTTGTTTGATGTCTGTCCTTGTTAATGCACTTGAACCAATTATGTTGTAGGGTGGGTCTATATAGTCCCATTTGACAGTAATTCATTATGTGTTTTAATGTCTTTGTTCTTCTCATTATTATTCTAAAATGTGGAAAATAGTAAGAAAAATAAAGCGTGTTTGTGTGTGTGTGTGTGTGTGTGTGTGTGCGTGCAGTATATCCGTGTATCTTCAGAAACTTCTGCTGAGGTGCTGTACCAGCTGATGACAGAACGTTGGAAGCTCAACCCCCCAAACCTGTTAATCTCAGTGACAGGTGGAGCCAAGAACTTCTACATGAAGACTCACCTGAAGGATAAGTTCCGCAGAGGGCTAATTAAAGTGGCCCAAACCACAGGTACACACTGACTATGCACAAAAAAGTGTTAAAGCCTCTGAATGCAGACTGTAACTGTGTCTCACCTACTGCATAAAGATAACACAGATGATTAAGGGTATCTGAGATTTACATGTTTGAAAATGTTTGTTTTTAAGAAGTACATAATAAAGAATTCCTTGCCAGATATTCTTCCTCAAGAACAAGAGGCTGCACTTATCAAGGCAACTGAATTACACCTGTTACAGGTGCCTGGATCCTGACAGGTGGCACACACACGGGTGTGATGAAGCATGTCGGGAGTGCAGTGCGGGACTACACCCTCAGCAGCAACAATGTGGAGGGACAGATTGTGGCAATTGGTGTGGCTACCTGGGGGGTCATCCACAACCGGCAGGGTCTCGTCCATTCTGAGGTGACCTGCTACATGATTCCCTGATTTTAAATACTTGTTTAAATTAACGAAAATGAGCTGAAAATCTAAGTGGGCAAAGCTGATTGGGTCAAATGGTAAGTCAGCATATCTTCACGAAGGGAATCTGATTCCAGAAGAATTTTCACTCTACACCTCTCTGTTAGACTAAAATGTAAAAAAAGCTGATTAGGATCCTTTTACTTCCTTGAGTAGTGTGACACCTGTGTGCCAAGTTGGAAGATGAGCTGTGGTCACCACTGTGGAAGCCCCTGAAGCAGAGAAAAATAATACAAATCTGAACGATGCCAGTAGATTTCCAGCATCTTCAGTGCTTGTAACTCGAATTATTATTGTCTGTCCTTGTCCATTCTGGTGCAACTATATACGTGCTGTACATATTATTAAACATATTGTTAGTATAATTTAAGATAATATAGTGAATGCAACTGTCCGTCTGTGTGTCTGTCTATCCATCTATCCAGCTATCTATCTATCTGTCTATTTATCCTGCTTTTTTTCTCTTCCTCTTTTTCAGGGTCGCTTTCCTGCTCATTACTATCTGGATGAGCAGGGTCAGGGCCGTCTCTCTTGTCTGGATGTTAACCATTCTCATTTCCTGCTGGTGGATGATGGTACACATGGCCATTATGGGGTTGAGATTGACCTTCGTGGTAGGCTAGAGAAGCTGATCTCAGAGCAGCCTCTGGGAAACGGAGGTGAGTCTGCAGATGTGTAGCAGTGTGTTAACCACAACCCTGGCCTCTGTGTTATGGAGAGTTGAGTCCAACTTGTTATGGGTATTTGTATTTTTTTCACTTATGATGTTTGTGTTTTTATGTACCCAAAACAATTAATTTAAATTTTTACATGAGCATTTTCCAATCTCTCTTTATCCTGAACCAAACAGGCTGTTTTTTTTTATTACTGTACCTTTAAGACTGATATAAAAATATGATCTCTGTTCTTATTGGTTACCCTGTATTGTGCCTCATTCAAAAAGTAGTCTAGGCTGAAACACTCCTTATAACTTCAGCCTGAATGGACAGGGCTAAACTGCTGTACACTGAATTGGTGGATACAATTGAAAAACAATGAATTCAGTTATACTTAATAAAAGATTTTACATGAAAAAAGCTAGAAAAAACCTGGTTTTCCATAATATGAAACCCTTCAAGGATGGCCATTGAGCTCCTTTTGTCTTTCAGTCCCTAAGCTAACTATACACTTTTACACTTGGCAACTACTGTGAAACAAGTTTATTCCATTAAAACAGTTTGCAGTGTTCTTCAAACCTTTACCTCTAGTAGTTTAATAGCAATTTTACGCTGAAAAATGATGGTTAGAACAGATACACATTAATATGTTACTTGCAGTTTGCTTTGTTTGACAGGAATTGTGTTCACGTCACACATTTCATTCACGTGCAACAGTTTGACACTTTTGAATCTTGTACAAGCCCCATTTTCTTGAGCTGACAGTTGTCATGTGTCTTTGCCAGAGAGTGGCGTGAAGATTCCAGTGGTGTGTGTGGTGCTGGATGGTGGACCTGGAACTCTGAATGTGAGATCACACTTTTCTTTTCTTTGGTTGAAGTTTCTAAAACACTAGTTATTATATACATCTCTGCATTTTGTTCTGACCCAAGCATTTTACTTCCCACAGACGATCTACAACTCTATGATGAACAGCACTCCATGTGTTATTCTGGAAGGGTCTGGGCGCTTAGCTGATGTCATCGCTCATGTGGCTGGTCTGCCCTTGTCAAAGGTCACTCTGGCTCTTATCCACCGACTGCTGAAGAGGTTTTTTGCAGAGGAGTATGAGTCCTTCTCTGAGCTCAAGATCATTGAGTGGACCAAGAAGGTGAGATTGAAAACATGAATTTTGTGTTCATAGTGTAATTTCCAGTGCTGAGTTAAGTCCTAAAATAGTGCTACAAACACAGTATTTGGTAACAACTCATAATTACAGGTCCGTATAAATAGCTTTATCATTACCTTAATGTCAGTTCATAATGGTTAGTAATTATGAAATTGATACTTATTCATTAATAAATGAACACTGGTTCTTCATGGGTTCTCTAGTAAAGAAAATGTGTCTATATAGAACCATGAACACTTAAAGAAGCGTTTGGATGATTAAGGACTTTTTGCGTCATGAAAGGGTTCTTGAGAGTGATAGAGAATGTGCTGTAGATGGTTCTATATAGCACCTTTTTGAAAAGGGTTCTTTATAGCACCAAACTGGTTTTGCTATTGTTACGATGTCAGGCTTGTACCAATAGAAGAACGCTTTTTGGTGCTAGATAGAACCCTATTCAAAAAAGTGCTATATAGAACCAGTTTATTTATTTGACAGCCCTTGAAGAACCATCATTTTAAGAGTGTACAATTTGAATTACAAGGCACATGCAAATAATCAGAGCACTTTAAGTGCTATTCATGAATGTTTTATGTTTGAGTATTATAAGTAATGTGATGTATGTTTGTAAGTACATTGTAAAATTCACTCACAACTAAAAGGGGTCCAATTAATTATTATTAATGTTTAAAAAGTATGTATTAACCACATTAACCATGTAACAGTTGACCAAGAATTAAGAAAAAGTTTTTAGTTTTCACAAAATAGCAAAAATATAAATAACTACTTCATCACTTAAGTCTTTGTATTCAGTACATGCTTAATTTTTCAAGCTACATAATTTCTGAATTATTGGTATCAAATAGCTATACCATTATTTTATAAAAACTATAATTATAACTATAATTAAGGATTTGGTTTTTACTATTCAAAATAATCACTGATTATTTCTATTTTGCTGTGAGTGAATAGTTCATCATTTAAATGGTAGTGTTTATTATTGTATAGATTATATAATTACAAAGAGTTATTAAAAACTAGATAAGAAGATGCTGCTTATTAGGGCCTGTTATTATAGTGTGTTATTCAATAATTCAGACAAATCTATTCTATAGTTTCTATACACTACAATTTCTGAGTGGAAATAAAATAAATTAAATTAAATAAAGCTGACAGTCAGAAAAGTCACTGGGCCAGATTGCAAAGCTTAGAAATAAACTCACTGGGAAAATGTAGTGACAGTTAGAAATTTCTGAACAGTTAGGAGTGGAACAGCCACACATTCAATATCCTTTTTTGACATTGTTCACAGATTCAAGACATAGTTCGAATGCCCCAGCTGCTGACGGTGTTCTGCATCGACGAGGAGAAAAACAGTGACCTGGATGTGGCCATTCTCCAAGCTTTTCTAAAAGGTGAAACATTTACACGTTTAATCGTTATGCTAACTGCATCAAAGTGATTCTCACCATTCACTTGCTGGAAACTCGTCAGCATACTTAAGAAACTAATAGCTGAGTTGACTGCTTATCAGACACACTTAGGAACAGAATGCAGTGTAAATTCATGCTTCCATTAGTGGCTGTAACACAGTGTCTATGAGCTTTGGGTGTGAGTGGTAATCTATCATGTTCTCTTTATTAGTTTAGGTCCAGTGGATGACAGATGGTTATGTGCATTACAGAACTAATTATGTAACTCTAGTATTGTGAAAAAGGCTTGTAGAGGCATCTGAGAACATGATATTTAAAGCTACTCGTCTGGGCAAAAGCAGTCATTGGTAAGAAATCATTGGTAAGGAAATTTAGGGAAAAAAAGCACTAAAATAAAAATAAAAACAAAAACAAATAAACAAGTTAATAATACATTGTGGTTTAGTTTTGGAAATAAATCCATACAGCAAATCTAAAAGAATCCAGACAGCTCTTCTAATTAGTGAAGTCAGCTACTTTAAGGTCATCCATTGTTTACAAAGCAAAGCATTACAATAGAATGAGACTCTCTGGGGCAGCTGCACATCAGCCTAAGCTTCCATGTTCAATGCCAAGTGTTGCCTGGAGGGATATAAAGACCCTTGCATTGGCCATGTGGAATTGCGCTGTATGGAGTGATGGAGCTCCATCCAGTATCTTTGAGATGACTTGTGGTGGCATTTGTGACCTAGAACTGATCAACCAACATCAGTACCTGACCTCACTAATGCTCTTGTAGCTGAATGCAGTCAAATCCTCACAACAACGTTCTGACATCTAGTGTAAATCCTTCCCAGTGGAATAGGCTGTTACCGCAGCAAAGGAGAACAAACCCCCTATTAATTTCTTTCAGAAGAAACATTTATCTACAAACTTGGACATGTAGTGTACACTTCACTATTTATTTTGGTTTTTATTTTTATTTGTATTCCTGCAGCCTCCCGTAGCAGTGTCAGTGTGGGCAAGCAGAACAGGGAGAGACAGCTGGAGCTGGCTGTGGCCTGGAATCGTGTGGACATTGCAGAGAGCGAGATATTTACTGAAGAAAGTCAATGGAAGGTCTGTTACACAGTGCATTACATTACATTCACCGCTCTCATCTTAGGTTCATGTAAGGTAATATAATGTATATCGTACCTACTTGCAGGAATTGGTTGTGCTGTACATGAAAATTTCCTATCATGACATCAGTGACCAAAATGGTCTCAGTTTCAGAGTTAGGCTGATACTTTAGGGCATATAGTGTCTGCTGAAATGGTTTAGAAAGCACTAATACACATTGTAATTATTTCACCAGAGTTAATATATTGACACTTTTTTATCGAGCCTCTCTTCCATTAAATCAACTACAGTTTAAATAAATATGAAATTGTCCCAGCGCTACTACTGCTTACTCTTCAGAATTATATATAGGGGTGACCAATTTGGCAAAAGTCATGATACTTCAAGACATTCACGTTATATGATATGTGTCACAATGTTTCATTCTTTGAAGGTTTGGTCAGTTGGAACAGACAAAAAAGCTTCAGTAGTGCCACATTTAACAATACTGTCAAGAACTTTGAGTACATTGATTTTTATTCAACATTTAATATACTGCCCTGCATTAAGTCCAGGTAAAAAGATCAATAACTGTGCTCTTTTTGTAATGAACTAAACAGCTTGTCTATGTTCTTTAAGTGCCCATGATATCCATAATAGATTGTGATGTAATTTATCGTAATAGCAATAAATATCACCACATTGCCCACTCTTATCACTCCATAAGCTTGTTTGTTGTTTTCCAGTCCAGTGACCTGCACCAGGCCATGTTCTCTGCATTGGTGGGCCATAAATCTGAGTTTGTGAGTCTTCTGCTGGAGAACGGAGTGTCCATCCGCCAGTTTCTCCAACATCAAGATACCCTCCATGAGCTGTATACACACCTGCCCAGCTGCCTTTTCTTGCGCAAACTGGCTAAGCGTGCTCCAAGAGGCACTAAAATTGCACTCAACCATGTGTCGGATGAAGTGCGTCACCTGCTGGGCAGTTTTACTCAGCCGCTGTACCTCCCAGCATCACCCCGTCAGAGAGCAGCGAAATCTAACGATGACATCTGTTTAACAGTGAGTTTGAATTTTGCAGTGTTAATACAGTTCAACTCAAAATAAGAATTATAGGATGTTTGGAGGGTTAGGATGTTAAATAACAAATATAATAAACAATTTTAATTAGTAGACATTAAATGTTGTGTAAGAAAGAAAGATGCAGTTTCCTGCAGTGAACTATAGCATTTCATCTGACATTGTCTCAGGTTGACTCCTTCAATACATATTCATTTACTCTGAACAGTATTTATCTTTAAAAAATTGATATTTAAATTTAACTATATATTTATTATGAATTAGCCAAGTAGCTAGGTTAAATTGGCCTTTAGATTTAAAACAAAGTGTGATAACTGTTGACAATTGAAGGTTACTTGTATAGCTACTCTGTTGCTTGAATATATCTTCACCATCAGAACAAAACATTGTATCTACAATTATATTGTATGTTTCTATTTTGATTTCTTTTTACATTATTTGAAGTACGAGCTACCCAATAGAAATACTAGCTGCCCAATAGAAATGGAATAAAACATTTTTACATTACCTTGCACTGAAAATTAACATACAAAATTAAGATGCATTGATAGTTTTAATGTTCACTCAAGTGTTTTGGCTCTACAGCCCTATTTAAGAGTAAGATTTAGCACAATACACAAATCTAGTACATTTATTTTGCTTGCTTGGTTGCTGCCTGCCTCTACTATGTGGTAGTTAATGCATAGCAGGTAGGACTACCTACCTAGAAAATGAAATGAATGTCATGTTAACTGATTCTTGTGCAAATTTTGTGGGGGAAAAAGCTTTGTGGCAATGTATTGTATCGTCAGTGAAGAAGGAGACACAGGAAACACTGTGCTTTAAAGGCGAATGCTCTTTTATTGAACAGACAGCAAGGGAGAACTGCCGCCCAGCGCTGATAAGCACAGCACGACAGCAGGGAAGGTCACTTTTAGCCATAGGATTCCTCTCTATGTCAGACGCTTATCCCCACTAACTAACCCCACAGCCCAGCTCAATAAAGCACACATAGCAAGTAAACTTGGACTGTTAGGCGATTAAAAAATTTAATCGCGATTGATCGCAAGTTTATTTTATTTTTTAAACTGCTGAAATTTTAGCACAGTGAAACATTTTTAAGTGCAGTGAGGTTATATTAGAAGAGTGGACACAATATGCTTAATACAAATTTACTTAACAACTTTGATCTTTAAAAAAAGCATTTCATATCAAAATGGTAACTTAAATCTTTTTTTGCAAAACATTTGCTGCTGCATATATTGCTGATAATACTGCTATGATCCTGTCAGGTGCCAGTCAAAGGCCACGGCCTGGAACTGCCGTGCTTTGAGGAAAAGAGAACTCCAGACACTGTATGGGACCCAGGCAGAGACCTCTTCCTCTGGAGTGTGCTGCAGAACAAGAGAGAACTGGCAGAAATCACTTGGGAACAGGTAACATTAGACGAGCATAAGAGGTCAGTGGTCCAGGGAGCCAATCAACAGACACAGATTAACAGATAGAGATAGATTCTTAATAGAAAATTACACTGACTCAGCAATTTAAACCAGAAGTAATCTGACTTTATACTGTGGATTTACAAATTCAGTACAAACTTGAAAGGTTTCTTTTTTTGAGGCCTCCATCTCTGGTTAAAAACATACCTTGTGCCTCTCTGTTTTTCAGTGCAGTGACTGTATGGCTGCTGCTCTGGCTGCCAGTAAGATCCTGAAGAAGCTTGCTGAAGAGGGAGGGGACAATGGAGAGGAAACCGAATCTATGAGAGAACTCGCCAACCACTATGAGAAACGGGCCATCGGTACAGGGCAACATTTGTTCTATACTTCGGCATCTCTTCATTAGCTTTTATGTTACTTTAGTGTATTTGTGCCTTTGTGTACGTACCCTCAGAATCCTTTGAAAAGGTAGTCATGGGAGAATATTGAAAAACAATGTCCTATATATGTTTTTAGTTACAAAACATAAAGTAATGCATTCAGAATACATGTAAAATACACTTTGATAAGGCACATTGGAAAAACACTGTCATTTTTATTCAATTCTATTCTACTATTCCTCACTGTTACTACTTGGCAGTTTTCTTTACGTAGTTCTTCTGTTAATATGTCTCATAAAATATCCAATTATCATTTGAATGAAGTTCTGAAATTCTCAATATTGAGGATTTATCAGTCCACTCAGGCTTTAGGAGGAACTTCAGTGTTTGTAAAGAAGCCACTGGTTAAGTTCTTCATTAGAGTCTTCAAAGTGTATTTGTGTGTCATTTACTGTATTTTAACATTTCTTTTAAAGATTGTATGGTTGTTTTTAAATTTAGTGGGCGAGCATTCTGAAAGTATTTCTAAAATCATAAAAGGTACTGTATTCTGAATACTGCCTTTACAAAATGTAACAGATACTCAATTTTTGTATTATAAATACATATTACATTATTACAAATGCATTACATCCTAACCCTGTGTACCTACCACACAACAGGGTAGGTTTGCAACTGCTTGCCATGTTATTGTTGTTCTTTTTTTTTTGATCAATAATAACTTAAACAGTACAGATTACAATATTCTAAACTAGACACAAGAGGGCATTTTAGATGTTTTAATCAGTATTTCTACTTCTATTTCAATTTATATAGTGACAAATAATATGTTGTAATTGTCTAATTATTGTGATATGCTGTCATCTGCCCTGACTTAACTACATTTAATATTCAAGGCATTCTGAATGGTTTTTTCTGAAAGTTCGTTCTCAGTGTTATTCCTTAAGGTTTTTAAATTATTAAGGAATCATCTGTAGGTCTCATGCATATTTCTGGATGGATCTAAAACGTCTTCATTTTTCATCTTCCTACAAATGATTTGAAACCTATGGAGAGTGTTAACATCATATTAGAACTGTTTTATATTTATTTGAAGCATCATGTTTTATATGTTTATTTACATTAAATTATTTTCTATATTAAATATGTATTTTATGATTCGTTTAACCTGCAGTAACACATTTATTTTATTGTATATTCTTATACACTTTTCAATGGAAGTGTGTATATCAAAGAAAATTCTTTGTACTTGTGCAGGTGTGTTCAGCGAGTGTCATAGCAATGATGAACAGAGAGCTCAGAAGCTGCTGACTCGGGTCTCGCCGTCTTGGGGTGGGGCAACCTGTCTGCGCCTCGCCCTCGAGGCTGATGACAAGAGCTTCATAGCTCACTCAGGGGTCCAGGTAAACACACCTGACATGCTTACTGTTATCTCTCTTTAAGACTGGACAAATGTGATGCAGGGCTTTTGTCAGCCTGAACCAAAAGCCTAATCATTGCCATACATTCATACATATATTCTCAGCCTATAGTTTTTAACCCCTTAAACTGCTAGCTAGTAAGTTAGATAGATATGCGAGTGAGAAATTAAAGTGTGGGCTTACATAGACGTCCCTGAAGTTTAAGGGACAAAAATTCAATTTGCCATAATTCTTTTTACCAATTTTAAAATTCTGTTTACCACCATGGCAGTTGCAAACACTGTGTTAGAAATAACCTAACTGGCTGTTTCAGGCCCTGCTGACTCAGATCTGGTATGGGGAAGTAGCAGTGGATAACCCACAATGGAAGCTCCTGCTCTGCATGGTTTTCTTTCCACTTATCTACACAGGATTTTTGGCCTTCAGGTAACATTGAGTGACAAAAACAGGTGATTCTAATGTTGTTATTTGTGCTCTCTTTTATCTGTTATTACATTTTTCTGTCACCCAGGAATTTTATGTAACATGCTGTTGGAAATTTGAAAAAAAAAAAAGTAGTTTACATTAAAGTTTACAATTTAAACATTACCTAAAAAGTTACAGCAGTTAATTTTCTGCAGTAATTGGCTCTTTTGAGGTTCTAACAGTAGTCAGCAAGCATACTAGGGCTCCATTGCCCTTGGTCCTGCTTTTTAATGCACGTGATGAAATTGCTCACTGTGCTCATCACTGACAGTGCTCAGGGATTCTCAGGGACAAATGAGAGTCCAGACAGTGTATCTTTAATTATGTTAGTTGTCATAGCTCTGTATGAAGTTAATAGGTCACTCACAATATCATAATAAATATCTGCTTTATACACATCATCTAAACCGCTTCTCCTTCTGGGTCGCGGTGGGGTGCTGGAGCCCAGCTGTCATTGGGCAGCAGGATACACCCTGGACAGGTCGCCAGTCCATCACAGGGCAGACAGACAGACATACACATTCACACACACCTAGCAGCAATTTTAGCATATCCAATTAGCCTGACTGCATGTTTTTGGACTGTGGGAGGAAACCCACGCAGACACGGAGAGAACATGCAAACTCCACACAGAAATGACCGCGGTCGCCCGGCCGAGAATTGAACCCAGGCCATTCTTGCTGTGAGGCGACAGCGCTACCCACTGCGCCACAGTGCCGCCCTGTCCGCTTTATGATTTTTCAAAATGTTCTTTTCCTTCTTCTGTTCTTGGATAGACGTTACCGTATATAAATGAACATTTACATTCCTACTTTAAATGTATAACATAAGTAATGCCCCAGACCAAAGTCATACTTAAATATATTTCATATAACTTTATATATGTTAATAAGCTGATTGCCTATTTGGATTCAAAAATATGTATAAATCATAAGATCATGAGAAGACCACAGCAAAGATCCACCACACGGTGGCAGTGTTTATTCGAGATCATCTAGGGCAGCTTTGGAACAGACACTGTTGGTTACATTTTCTGAAGAACCTGTCATAATTAGCATTAAAAATGGATTAGATTAGGAATTTGATGGTATATACATTAGCAGGCATCATATATGTGACTCATAATGATGACAAATGTATGTGTTTGTACGTTTTGTTAGGCGAGACGAGGCCATGCGAAGAGAAGCAGAGCGGACAGAAGAGGAGAAGCTGGTGATGGACTCTGTCACTGGATTCTGCACTGATGACAGAGACAAACCTCAGAATCAGTACTGATATTTCAGATTTTGTGGAACAGCCATTTCAGATAAAGATACTTTTAGGTTTTGAGACTTCATTTTAACCACACATTTTAAGTTCTGGAAGTCCACATTAATTCAATGGATCACTTCCTTATTGCTGAGCATAATTAAGACTGAAATTGATGGCAGAGAAAATCATATAGAGTTCTCAGTAAGTAGTGTAGGTGGATAAAAAGGTTTAAATCCACATTTGTGAGTGCAGACCTTACCGACCAGCCACTTCATTAAAACCATCTCCTTGTTTCTACACTCATTGTCCATTTTATCAGCTCCACATACCATATAGGTGCACTTTGTAGTCTGACAATTATAGACTGTAGTCCAACTGTCTGTTTCTGTGCATACTTTGTTAGTCCCATTTCACCCTGTTCTTCAGTGGTCAGGACCCCCACAAGATCACCACATATTATTTGGTCGTGGATCATTCTCAGCACTGCCGTGACACTGATGTGGTGGTGCTGTGTTAGTGTGTGTTGTGCTGGTCCGAGTGGATCAGACACAGACACTGCTGGAGTTTTTAAACACCTCAGTGTCACTGCTGGACTGAGAATAGTCCACCAACCAACAACATCCAGCCAACAGAGTCCTGTTGGCAGCGTCCTGTGACCACTGATGAAGGACTAGAGGATGACCAAGACAAACTGTGCAGCAACAGATGAGCTATCATCTCTGACTTTACATCTACAGGGTGGACTGACAAGGTAGGAGTGTCTAATAGAGTGGACAGTGAGTGGACACAGTGTTTAAAAACTCCAGCAGCACTGCTGTGTCTGATCCACTCATACCAGCACAACACACACTAACACGCCACCACCACATCACTGCAGTGTAGAGAATGATGTACCATCCAAATAATGCCTGCTCTGTGGTGGTCCTCTGGGGGCTGACCATTGAAGAACAGGGTGAAAGGACTATTCAAAGTATGCAGAGAAAAAGATGAACTTCAGTCTGTAACTGTAGAGCTACAAAGTGCTCCTATATTGTAAGTGGAGCTGATAAAATGGACAGAGAATGTAGAAACAAGGAGGTGGTTTTGATAAAGTGGCCGGTTAGTGTACGGTTGTTGTAAGAGAAGAGGCTTTATGACTTTTGGAAGAGAGAGAATGCTGAGAAATTGGGGTTGGGGTTCTGGATGGCTCCTGCTTTAAGCTAGAAGGCCAGACCACCCACCCCTTTTTGATAGACAGAGATAGGACTGAGAGAGAACTGAGGAGCTGAGAGGAGATGGTGAGGTGGTGAAATGTGAAAACTTTGTCATAGGAAAGGGAAGATGACCTGGAAAGAGAATTAGCTTCAGGCAGGCATGGTCCTCTACCCAAACTTTAGTTTCATAACTCCATTTCAGCACTCAATTCAGCACACATTTTTTTTTGTTCCATCTGCACTACTTTTTAGACTGAACACCTCTGAAAAAAAAAAACAAGTTCTTTCTTTGTGTCACCAGTGACCAATCTCAGAAGTCTCATTTGCGTCCTCTGAACTGCTGGACGCGGATGATGGGTCTGTTCACCTGCCCTCAGGTGAAGTTCTACTGGAACATCGCCTCCTACTTTGGTTTCCTGTGCCTCTTTGCTGTGGTGCTGATGACAGACTTCCAGCCCTCACCATCCTGGAGAGAGCTCCTTCTGTACGTGTGGCTGATCTCTCTGGTGTGTGAGGAGATCAGACAGGTGAGATTTGGACAGGCACAATAAAATGTAATCAAGCATATCTCAGAATAAAATTGTCAGAAAAGAACTCAAGGCTTACAGTATTTGTATTTGGTATCACAATACAATAGTACAATGTTTTCTCTTGATACAGAGCACAGAAATCATTTTATAAACAATAAAGACGATTTTATCCAGTTTTGTTCATGTAAATTGAGTGTGCCAGTATTTGTGGAGGACATTACATGTTTGGTGTCAATTCACTCCTTCTGTTTAGCTCTTCAATGACTCAGATGGATTTGGCCTTCAGAAGAAAGCAAAGATGTATATTAAAGACCTATGGAACATTCTGGATGTGCTGTCGATAATGCTTTTCATCATTGGCCTGGCTTGCAGGTCAGCTTACTGGTTCAACATTGGCTTTCTCTAGGGGAACACTGTCCACTAAAAGCCATTGCATAATCGTTTGTATATTTTTTCTCAGTTTTATAGTAGATTTCATATTTGCATGAGAGCCTAGTTACATACATACGTACACTCAAATATTCATACATACAGTCCATTATAAGACACTTAATTTCTCCTTCAGGCTGCAGGCTTCTGGAACAGTGTTCTATGTGGGTAAAGTCATCCTCTGCATCGACTTCATCATATTCTGCTTGCGCCTGATGGCCATCTTCACCATCAGCAGAACCTTAGGTCCTAAGATTATCATTGTCAGGAAAATGGTGAGAATAAATTCCATTCCTGGTCAAATTCCAGACCTAGTTCCAAAAAAGTTGGCACAGTAGATAAAATGCAAATAAAAACAAAAAGCACTGATTTGCAAATCCTTTTTGACCTGTATTCAGTTGAAAACAGACAAAAAGACAATATTTACTGTATCAACAAGTTAATTTTATTTTTTTTATATATATATGCTTATTCTGAATTTGATGCCTACAACTTGTTCCAAAAAGTTGAGAAAGGAGTGTGCATGTTTACCACTGTGTTACATCACTTTTCCTTTCAACAACCCTCAGTAATCATTTGGGAACTGAGGACACAAATTGTTGTAGATGTGAAAGTGTATTTTTCCCCATTCTTGCTTGATAATGCTTAAGGTTTTTAACAGTCTTGGGTCTCCATTGTTGTATGTTGCGCTTTATAGTGCGCCACATGTTTTCAGTGGGAGATAGGTCTGGACTGCAGGCAGGCCAATCTAGCATCTGCGCTCTCTTACTAAAAAAAGCCATGCTGTTGTAATACTTGCAGAATGAGCTTGGCATTGTCTTGCTGACACAAGCGGGGACGTCCCTGAAAAAGACGTTGTCTAGATGGCAGTATATGTTGCTCCCAAATGCGTATGTACCCCTCAGCATTAACAGTGTCTTCACAGACGTGCAAGTTACCCATGCACTTGGTACTAACACACCCCCATAACATGACAGACAGTGGCTTTTGAACTTTACACTGGTAATAGTCAGGATGGTCTTTTTCCTCTTTTGCCTGGTGAACATGATGTCAGTAATTTACATAAACATCTTGAAAGGTAGACTCAGCAGACCACAATATATGTTTCCCCTTGCCTCATTCCACCTGAGATGAGCTTTAGCCCAGAGAAGTCGGCGTCACATGTTTAAGATGTTTCTAGGATCATTTCACAACATTCCTAGCTTTAAATGTCCCTGTCCCACCTATTTTGGAATGTACAGGCAGCAGTTTCAGAATAGAAGTTCTGAGGGTCAAAAGGTAAAACGTTAAATATCTTTATACTGTTTTCATTTAAATAAAGGTCAAAGTTAATTTACTAATCAGTGTTTTCTGTTTTATTTGAATTTTACCTACAGTCCCAGCCTTTTTGGAATTGGGTTTGTACATGTTTTGTTGATTTCCTAATTTAAAATAACAAAATAACACATTCTTTGCAGAGAACACAGTTCTGCACCTTTTAATGCACAGTTACTGTTTATTTGCTGAATTGAACATATTAGAAAAAGAAATAACACGTATAATATAGCCTGTAAAAAAGTTATGGCACTTTTTTATTTTATGTTTTGTTCTTTCCAATATGTTCAGCTATTTCCTATAAATAGAAATTGTGCAATAAAATTTGTATAAAAATGCTACATTTAGATTTGTTTCCAGTAGAGGATGTGTTAACTTATTTTGTCTTAGTAAATCAACAAAACGTGTAATCTGATCAGGAATGTTCAAACGTTTGCATATGACTGTATATTTATAGAAATCTCACTGCACATTTACAAATGTAGGCCAATGAATAAAACGCAGACATTTTAGCACAGTAATCCAGTGTAGCTCAAACATTCTGCTTTTCTGGAGTACAATAAATATTGCTTTGAAATATTGATCAAATCTGAACATTATCTAAGGCTGAAAGGCTTTTTTAAAGCAATTATCTGCCAAAACTTATGATTTTGACTTGATCATGATTTCATCATGCATACCTAACCTAACTTTTGTAGATGATGCTTATTAATGTACTGTCAACAGTTATGTACTATTACTTTTGTATTTATTATGTATGTATGTTCAGTTGCGTATGTATTATTATTCTATACATTCCAAAAAGATAGCACTCATTGAAATACATGCTCGACTAACTTTACTTTTCTTACTCTTCCTTTTTATCTCTCTCTCTTTCTAGATGATGGATCTGTTCTTCTTTATGTTCCTGCTCAGTATCTGGGTGGTGGCCTATGGAGTGGCCAAACAGGGGATCCTCATTCAGAATGAGGAGCGTCTCAACTGGATCTTTCGTGGAGCTGTGTATGAGCCCTACCTCATCATATTTGGGAACATACCAGCTAGTATAGACAGTGAGTAAAATGAAACAAAGAGTTTGCAAGCTAAGAATTAAACTGTCATCAGAGCATATGAATATGAAGACGAGGTATTCCACTCTCAGGTGTGGCGCAGCAGAAGATGGGCTCCTTGTCTTTGTTCCTAAGTTTATTCTAACACTGTCATCTTAGGCTTGCTCATCTGTTACAAAAAGCACTATAGAAATAACATTGAACTGAATTGAAGAGGCTGCACAGCTGCAATCAGGAACAGTGTCAGAGCTGCCCTAGTATATACTGCTGTAAGGAAGACTCTCTAGGTGGATTGGAATCCATGATACCCGTACTCAAACACACAAAGCCAGAATCAAAGCCAAAACAGTCAAAAACCAGAAAAGTTCACAAAATAGCAGAAGTACCAAAAGGGGAGATCAAAAGCAGAGTCCAAAAGTTCAGAAAAGGGTCAATGTAATCCAAAAATCATCAACAGTCTAGCAGGAACAAGGCTTGGTTTGCAGATACTTCGCAGTGAGCCAGAGTTACTGAAGGTCCTTAAATAGGTAGGTAAATGAGCTGCAGGTGAGAGGGGTCAGGGTGAAACTAGGCAGTACGTCAGTATTCAGGTGAGGCTGACCTCTGGTGGCGATGGCGGGTATTACACCTGACAACTGCATACTGATTTTTTTAAAATGACTGTTATTCAAATGCCTTTCCTAGTGCAGTCTTGGCAAATGACCTACAAGATTCTTTTTTGCTAACAGAAAAAGAAAACTTGACAGCAAACAATTAAAAAACAGGGAATACAGAGGAATGTTAATGCAGAAATGCTAGAGCTGTTACAACACAGTGTAGCACATTGTATTGAATTGTATCACAGTATAATGTATTGTATCTATTGTTGTATTGTGATTAGCATGTTATCTTGTGGAGTGGTAGATCAGGTCGCTATAAAGCACAGTGTTTGTTTCACCTAAAAATAGAAATACTAGCATATGAACTTATGTTATATTTTAAGAACTTCCTATATTTTTGCGTTATCAAAAATATCAAACTGTCTCGTATTGAATTAAATTCTGATGTTTACAAATTGTAGTAAATGGCTACAATTCCGTGTTCTATCGAAAGTCATTATATGCAGTGTATGCAAAAGTTTGAACACCTCTGGTCAAATTACATGTTTTGTTAATTTTTTTCTAAGTGCAAATAAGTAACACACAAGTAACACAAATAAATAACACATTCTCTACAGAGAACACAATTAAATACAGCATTTTTCTACAAATTGTAGAGTAACATATTGTAACATATTTTGAAAAATATAAAATGTAGTGTGTGCCATTATTTTTGAACAGCCACATTTTATGATTTATTTCTTTTTCCAATATGTATAATTCTGCAAATAAACTGTAATTATGCATTAAAATGTGCAGAAGTGTGTTCTCTCTAGAGGATGTATTCAATTATTTTTACTTAGAAAATCAACAAAACGTGTAATGTGACCAGGAGTGCGCAAACTTTTGTGTACGACTGTGTAATATTTTGCTATTTTTTAATCTAGAATTGATACATAAGTCACAAGGAATACAAATCAGTCCATCATTTTATTCAGAATAATCCCTAAGGCTTGTGCTCACTGTCTAGCAACTTTCTGGACAGATGGTCTAATCCTGGTGGGGGTTGATAATGCCCTCTTAGAGCTCCATCACAGAAATAATGGACACTCAGTGGACTAAATATTTACAATATGCTTCTCAGCAGAATATGTTTTGCATAAGTCTGAAGGATTCAACACTGATGCTTGATCTCTTTTATGTGCTCCAGATACTCAGTTTACCATGGACAGTTGTAGTGTAAATGGCACAGATCCTCTGAAGCCCAAGTGTCCAGTGCTGAATGACGATAACGTTCCAGTCTTCCCAGAGTGGCTGACCATCATCATGCTGTGTGTTTACCTGCTGTTTGCCAACATATTGCTTCTCAACCTCCTTATTGCCATCTTCAAGTGAGTACTACACCTTCACAGTCTGGGCTCATTGTGAGTAGTCAGCATTTTTGGAAAGTACCAGAATTAAAAGAGTACTCTACACATGACATTTCTTGCCATAAGCTGTCTATGGCTGAGAGTCCAGAATGAGTGTAAGTACAGCTAAGGGTCACTCTTCTCACCCTTTGAGTATGACAGTCAGCCCCCTGCATAGCTACACAAGTTACTGCAAGTCCTCTTCCCCAAGCATACTAAAAGAGTCAACAAAGTATGTGTATTATGTATTTCAGGACAGTACTAACTCACAAATATTCAGCCTACATCAATTTAGCCCCACCCAATCACAGAAAAGTTATAAGGAGTGTTTCAGGCCAAACTGCCTTTTAAATGCAGTCTTAGAGAACTTTTATCTATACTAATCTTAAAGACACAGAAAAAAACAGCCTGATTAATTTGAATGGATAAAGAGAGGTTTGAAATTGTTCATTCAAATTTAAAAATGATTGATTTTGGTACATAAAATCATGCAGTTATCATAAGTCCTCATAAGTCCTCAGGGGACAAAAAAATCCAGAATATGTGCCTTTTAACATATGTAAAAATACCAGAAAAATTACATAAAATAGTTTGATTCAAATACACTTTTAGAATTTAATTAAAATATTTTGTGATTTCTTAATTTCCTCACAATTCCTGTTTTTTTGGAGACCTTATGTTCCATACACTTCCATACATCAAGAGCTTTATCTAATGTGTGTCAACTAACTGCTCTGTCCTTGTGTTCTATAGCTACACATTCACAGAGGTGCAGGATAATACAGACACGATCTGGAAGTTTCAGCGTTATGAGCTGATAAAGGAATACCACAGCCGTCCTGCTCTGCCTCCGCCCTTCATCCTCCTGAGCCATCTGTACCTGTTAATCACACATGTGTTCCTGCGACGACCCACTGACAAACACAGGCACTTCAGTAAGCAAGTGTCACTGAAAGACTAACAAAGGTTCCACAGATTTAGGTAGCAAGCACCTAAAATAGTTTTTGTTGTTCATTAAATTATGTAGACTAATCTTCTTTTAGTTGACTTTGATGCCTTACTTTGGCAATTGTTACATAATTGTTGCAAAATTCCCAATGTCCCACCTCCTTTTGTATTTGTTACTATATTTGTCAAACATTCAGTACAGACTGTCTGGTAGCATCCATAACACTTGCACTAACAGACTGAAATGCTCACAGAGGAGTAAATTTGATTTTTTTTATTCAAAAATAAACTGGCTTTACAAGATATTAAGCATAGACATATATATTTGAGAACTGACAAAATATGCATATAGGCTAATTTCAATTACAAAACGGACAGTTCCGGTCCTAAAATCTGATTGGTTGAGCTGCATTCGAAGCTGTTGTAAAATCCACGACATACACACACCTATTCATGCTTCACAACAACTGAATTGTGTATTACCACACCAGGGCAAGAAAAAAAAGACTTTTAAGCTGTTAATGAATAATCTTTGACTCCCATGCTGCTCGCATGGACCACCGAGTATATTGATGAAGTAAGAACCCATTTTTGTTTAAACTGAGGGGCTGAAAACTTATGTTCTTAACTAGAACTAGGCTGGCCAGCTAGCCAACAGGCTAAAAGATAGCAAACATGCTAAACAACTCCAACATTAATATCACAGGCTTGAATTAAAGTACTCACGATATAATTCACTGAAAAACGGCAATATAAAAGTCTAAGGAATGTCACCTGAATGGCTTACACACTTCAAATGTTCGTGTTTCAGTCAGAACTAACATCAAACCCAGGCTGAATCCCAAACGGCTCCATGCTCACTAGCTAAATCATGTGCTGTGTAACATTAAGTTTAGAAATTCTAGGCTCTGCTGTCAAGGAGTGCACTGCTTGTCGAGTATGAATGTGGATGAATCCCAAATGACCGTTTTTAGTGATATTTTGCATTGTTCGGGTGCAGGTTCAGTATTCAAATTACTACACAGTGCACTATGTAGGGAGCAGGGAGCCATTTGAGATTCAGCCCCAGCGTGAGAAAAGTGGCGTGGTCAGACTGGCAGGAGACTTGCGGTAGTAATTTGGTGACCAAAAAGTACTGAAACTAAAAGTATTTGCATTAAACAGTGCTGTGTTGTATGTGTTCACTGTTATACGAAAAACGTTTTTAAAAATCATGAAATGTCTGCAGTTTACAGTGATTGGTGACCAAACACTCTTTCAGCAGTCCATGGTTGCTTAGCAATGATACCATACTCTAAAGGAACTACGTTTCTTTGCGGAATACTTGTTTATGCTGATTACTATTAATAGTAACTTAAATAATTATCTAAAACATTGTGTTTTTTAATATATTTATTAAAGGGGCAGTGGGTTATGGTATTTTATCACGGGGAAGGGAGTTTTAGGCACTCTGCTTCGCGTTATGCCAAAGAACACCCTTCCCTGTGATAAAATCGCAGTAACCCATGGCCTCTCATGGCTTACTGCTTTAGTGAACAGTGGATACTGGAAACATTCAACTTAATTGACATTAAAGTGGTTTTATTATTATTTTATACTATATAAAGTGCTTTCATGTGTTTTGTTTTTTTTCCCCAGTTGTTTCGCCAATTTAGTCATATCAAATTCCATCCACTAGTTAGGACTCCCCCGGTCACACAATACCACCAGTGCTAGTAGGGCTAAGGCTAGCACAGGCTTCCTCCGAGACCTGTGAAGCACCACCACATCTTTTTGAACTGCTGCTCACGCTCATTGGACAGCCAAGCGCACTTGGAGGAAAGCGCCAGCTGCCAAATGTGATATGTCAGCTAACAGACGCCTCCTCTGACTAGCATCGCATTGAGTGATGGGGAGGAGGGCATCCTACCCACCCAGAAAGTGAGGCCAATCGTGCTCTCTTGGACTCCTCGCATAGGGATTGGTGTAGCATCAGCAGGGATTGAACATGCGATTGCCTGATGATAGGGCCACCACTTAGACGGTTCTGCCACTCGGGAGCTCTAAGTGCTTTCATGTCTAATAAGGAGGAGGATTTAGTGATGCAAGCTCCCCTTCAAATGAGCTGATGCTAAAGCTGGAGCTAGTCACAGCAACATGAGATGCTAGATGCGCCTGCACTAGGCCTTTAATGAAACTTTACAAAGATTGGCATGTGTACAAATGCATTGATACTGTGGCGTGTAGGTGGAGAAGAACCAGAGGAGGCTATTATTATGCTCTTGTTATTGAACAAAAGTGTGTACCATAGAGAGGCATCCTATGGCTAGAGGTCAACTAGTTAGCTAACTGATCTTAACATTGTTCTGTAATGTTATTTATCATTAGACATCATATTAAAATGATTTTTAAATAACGTTACAGTAAATCAGAAAAAGTTTCTTATCTGTTTGAGCTAGCGTAGTCTAACTGTTAATAGTTTTGAGTTCAAACTGTGAATCCAAAACCTTTTCAGCTTCAGGAATGAAACAAAAACAGCACCACCAGATGATCAGGATAGCATGCGTCTGGCATTATATGTCTCTCAGAAACACTTTCCACCATTTCTTAGCATCTCTTTATGATCTGGGTTTAAGTGAAGTTTCGGTAAAGCTAAACGCTGTTTCATTGTGTCCAGGGCAGGAGCTGACTCAGTCAAAGGAAGAAGAGCTGTTATCATGGGAGTCATTCATGAAGGACAATTATCTGTCATCTCTGAGGCAAGACAAGAGCCAGAGTGTGGAGCATCGCATCCAGGACACAGCAGAAAAGTAAGATTCCTGCCATATTCCATGACATACCATATGACTTACCATAATGTTATAGAATGATATCCATATGATGAGGCACTTTTGAGTGAACCAAACCTCGCTACCACACCATATTGTAATAAATTGATTAGTTGAACTCTAAGAAGCTGTAAATGACAATTAAGAAATTTTAGATATATTTAGAATGATGAACAGAGTTGCCGAAGATTCTAAAATGAGGGAAAAGCTGCATAACATGGCAGATACCAGAGCAGATAACTTTAAAAAATCTGACATTATTGAATCTAAAATTTTTTCACCTTTCGGTGAATATTTTGTAATATTTAAAACCACATTGAACAAATTAATATTGCAAAAAAATGAAAAAAGAAATGTTCATATGGCAAGAGCCTCCAAACAGAATTATAGTTTATAAGCAAACAAAGTTTATTATTATAAAACTTGTTGTTTTTCAGGGTTGAAACCATGTCAGAACTGCTGGAGCGAGAACATGACAGAGGTTCTGGTGTCATGGCGAAAAGGCTGGCCCGGCTGGAGGAACAGGTCCATGATCAGCATCATTGAATCTATTTGGGGCTTGTCAACTCCAGCATAGTTTGTTTTAGTTTCTGCTTTTCATTTAAATGACAGGTTGAATTAGATGTGTTACAGAAGGGACGGCTTGGTAACTCCTGGTTAAGTAGTATAGCATAAAGTCATAAAGAAGATGAAAAAATGTCGCCCCAGCCCCTTAGGTTAGCTAAATCTTGAACTTCTAAGTATGAGAGTCTGATAAAAGCTGTGTCATTTTGTGTTAGGTCTCACAGTCCACTAAAGCTCTACAGTGGATTATGGACACTCTTCAGTCTCAGGGCTACACATCTAAACAGGAGGCACCTATAATGGGTGAGTCTGATGGTTTTACTTCTTCTCTGCAGACAAAATATACTGTTTTTCATTCTGCACATTCTTCCATTTCTCTGATCTGCATGATTATCAGAATGCTTAAAGTCCCTCCTGGTTAGTCAGTCCCATTAAACCAACAGATGTGCCAAGCTTCATCACTGGTATCAAGAAAAGAGAAGGCATTTCTGACATGAGCAAACTGCACCCTTATCAAAGGATACTCTCCAGCTTTGTTTGAGTAGAGGGGTAGTTGAGTCTCTTGCTTTCAGCAGAAACAGTTCAGACTTACAGAGCCTTTCGTTTTCAGCCTGTACAGTAAAGGGCACAGGGAGTGACCCTACAGAATCTAGTGGGCAGGAACCAGAGGAGGAGAAGACTCATCACTTCTATGCCCGCCAGCACCACTATCCTGGCAGTACTGTTAAACGCTTCCCTGTGCCTGAGGAGAAAGTGCCTTGGGAGGTACCCAATCTAGACTGTATTTATTAGAAATTACCAAAACTTGGTGGTTTATAAAAGATTGTGCTATTTATGCATTTTTGGAGTAATCAGAAAGTCTGTTCTGTTGTAGGTGGACTTCACCCCTTACTATCCTCCAATTTACAATCAGCAAGAAACCCCAGAGTATGTCCTTAGTGGCCTTCATCCATGTTTAAATTAGGATGTAACTGTCATTGCCATTTAATCTTGACAAATATGTTCATGTATATGTTTTTTCAAACAGTTCAGACAGTTCAGCCTTGGACAGCCACAGGTAAACAATGCATTTTAAATAATTTACCAGCCTCTGAACTTATTTATTTATCCATGTTGTTCCTTTGGTGTCTGTTGACTTAATCCCAGTGTTAAAAATAAATCTGAATTTTCAGGAACCCTGCAGGGCGAACAGGAATAAAGGGAAGAGGAGCTCTAAAAAGTCTTGGCCCTAATCACATTCTAGACCCAGTTATCACAAGGTACTAGATATAGAAGCATTAAAATCAAATGTCCTACTTGCTGTGAGTCTATTATTATTAAATGTAGTCTAAAATCATAAACGACATATCATCTGATTGATATTTATGGCTGATTCTGTCGACTGCCATCACTGTAACATTGATGAGATGATGATAAGATTATGACTACAACGTGAGCAGATTAGTGATATGAGTCATACTGAGTTCATCTCACTAGAGAGGTCATCTCACTAGAAAGAGTTTTGGAGTAAAGATTGTGAAGTATGTGGGTTGTAATGAAGGACTGATTTTTATTTATTTATTTGTCTTTTTTCTCTAGATCTGAAGGCTCTGTGTTGGAGTTCTTGGCTGTTTGGGAGGAGACAGCAGGATGCTGGTCATTCCCTGGGGTGAGAGCCCTCCAGAGTAAAGCGCTGTTGTTTTGTTCATGGTTAATGATTTCTGATTCTGATTTATGATTTTAGAAACTACTTTTATCAACATGCTCAATTTTATAGTACTTTAATGCGACATTAAATTTTGTGTTTGAGTGTTTGAGTTCTCTGAGGAGCACTGAACCTTAGCAAAAGATTATACAGTGCTTTATGGGATCTAAGAGAATGTAATATGTGGTCAGTTGATGATTTATTTGAGTTTATCTGAGCTTTTTCTCTGTGCAACTGATTTCACTGACAAAAGTTGTACCAGATATAACTGTGTCTGCTTTACACCCTCATCTCAAGGGTTCTGCCCAGCCTGGAGCGCCTTTACCCAAGAGGCTGGAAACGGCACTAGGGAAGAAGCTTTACCAGAAAATCAAAGCCAAAATAGAGTCAGGGACTGGTGTCAAAGAGGTGAATGTTAAAGGATGAACCAGTATATTCATGTCTACACCTGGAAATGAGAAAAGCTACACTCCTAAGTACACACTAGATAACCTACACTCCTAAAAATAAAGGTGCCTCAAAGGTTTATTTGAGCGAAGACACAAAAGAAACACTTTTGGTTCCCTGAAGAGCCATGTTTGAAAAAGAAATGCAGATGTGTGAAGAATCTTTTAAAGCTTTAAAGAGCCTCCACACAGTGTAAAGGATTCTTCCTAGAACCTTTGCACTATGTAGAGGTTCTTAAAACCTTGAAAAGGTTCCTCACAATTTATTTACAAATGTTCTCTAAAGAACCACCCAAAGGTTCTGTCGAGAACCAGAAGTGATTTTTCTATTCATCGTGCAAAGAACCCTTGTTGGGACCTTTATTTTACAGAGCATAACTGGATGACATTACAGAGGTGAATGTCAGATATACCACCTGTGTTAGCCATTCAGGCATCAAAGTTGCAGTCATTACTGAATCTAGCTACACTTCTTTTCACATATTAGTTGCCTAGAAGCCAATAAACAAATGTTTTCACACCATTCACTGACTACAGACATGTTGTAAAGACACAGAGGTTTAAGTTTTACATGATTTGGGGAACATTTAGAGGGAATTTTGGTGCTCTGCTCTCTTCCAGGTCTATAAGGGTTATGTAGATGATAGCCGTAACACTGATAATGCCTGGGTGGAAAGCACTGTAATAACAGTTCATTTCGACCGGCGGAGCCTGCTGATGGGTGATGGCTGTGAGGTAGGAAGTTTTTTCTTCCCTTCAGCTGTCCTGTCTCTCCGTCTCGAGTAGAGTGGACTGAATTGCTTCAGCGAGATTTTATAGTAAATGTCAAGATCTCAAGTATAAGTGCTGATTCATACAAGAAATAATTTCTCAGATGTTTGAATTTAACAATCTGTATGCCATCAGACCTTTCAGTGCCGCTAAAGCCTCATACAGAAATAGCAGTATGACCATTTCTTCATATATTCATAAGTATATTCATGAGTATAATGTATATTACCATACTGTCGCTGTTCAAATAAAATTGCAATCTGCAAAATGGCATGTTTACAGAAGAAGGTAAAAACTTTCTTTACTTTTAATGTAAGTCTTAGAAATTGAGATACTTTTGTTTTTGTTGTTGTTTTTTGTTTTTGTTTTTTTGACAGTGACAATTCACTGATCAGCCATAACATTAAAACCTCCTTCTTGTATCTACACTCATTGTCCATATTATCAGCTCCTCTTACTACATAGGTGCAGTTCTACAGTTCCATCTGTTTATCTGCCTACTTTGTTAGCCCCCTTAACAAAGTATGCTAGGGCTAACAAAGTAGGCAGAGAAACAGATGGACTACAGTCTATAATTGTAGAACGTGGTGTAACTGGGTGATGAGACAGAGAGAGCATGGCATTAGATAAGTGCTCCTATATGGTAAGCAGAGCCGATAAAATGGACAATGAGTGTAGAAACAAGGTGGTTTTAACCAACTGGTCGGTCAGTGTACATAATAATATAATGTAAATGTTATCATGTATAATAAAATTATATTAATGATGATGGTCTATGATAGAACTTTTAAAACTCAGATTCAGTTAACCCTTTCAGTGCAGGCTTTTATTCAGTTACTAATCTTAAGGCATATTATTCAGCAACTACTATGAATTACTTTGCAAGCACAATGAGACTAAAATGTAAGTTATGTTGTTAAGACATATGTATGACATACATGAATGAGGCAGCACACTCATCTAATGCCATGCTCTCTCCTCAGATGGGCAGCTGCTCTGAACAGTTTCAGTGGCAGGAGGTGAGCAGCAGAACAGTCGTGCGCCCATACCAGCGAGAGGCTCTCCGTCTCATCGCCCAGTTACACCACGCCAACTTCTGAATCTCAGGAAGACACAAACACTCTTGACACCTCAATGCTTCACCCAGACAGAGCTGTACTACATTGAAAGCAGTTAAGGATCTGTTTATCATGTACAAAGTTAGCTCACTTTTTAAAGTTTGTTTTTATGGCTGTAGCAAGCAGAACCAAAATGTTTCTTGTTTGGAAGGAATGCAAAAAGAAAACACAAGCCATACAGTAGCTATAATAAGCCCAGCATACCAAAAATCATTTCTTTACTAATACTTTGTTACAAGTCCCAATGCCTTAAAGGGCCCATATCCTACATTTTGTTGTATTTTATTTCCCCGCTGAGGTCCACTTCTGATGTCTGTGTGTAGCAAAATGTACCATACTTTATTTTTACATGACTATTTTCCAACTTTTCTTTGTCCATATGATTTTCTTCATCCTTTAAAGAGGCTGGTTTTGTGCCTTTAAGACTAATACATGTTAGTGATCTCTGTTCTGATTGGCTGTCCTGTATTGTGCCTTGTTCAAAAAGCAGTCTGGGCTGAAAAACTCCTCATAATTTCAGTGTGATTGGGTGGGCCTAAACTGCTCTGGACACAATATCTTGAGCCCACTCTTCCATGAACTGGGTGCACATTTCAGCCAGAGTTTTGTGCCTGGGTGCCTATTAAGAAAAATTAAGACTGAGCTCTGGTGATTTTGTTGGTCAGTCAGATTGTTCCAGTGTTCATATCTGTTGAACCAGTCACTTACAAACACCCTACAGTTGTCATCCTAGAGTGTGGGAAGCACAACGTTTGTGGAAGAGTGGGCTAAATTGGACCATCTCCAAAGGCTGGTGTAATCCATACCTGCCATGATGGGTGTGGTCATTAATACAGGGGGTTGCATAACTAAGTATTAGGGGAGAAATTATGCATGTAAATAGTTCTTGCCCTGAGAGCTTAACCTCACACTGCATACTGCATACTGTATACTGCCCCACTATATATATATGTGTGTGTATATATATATATATATATATATATATATATATATATATATATATATATATATATATATATATATATATATATACGTATTCTCAGTCCAGCAGTGACACTGAGGTGTTTAAAAACTCCAGCAGCACTGCTGTATCTGATCCACTCATACCAGCACAACACACACTAACACACCACCACCACATCAGGGTCATCTTTAATTGTAGAACTACAATGTGCACCTATATTGTAAGTGCAGTTGATAAAATGGACAAAGAGTGTAGATAAAAGGAGGAGTACTTCTTGTTATGGCCAGTCAGTGTATATATGTAAGCAATCTTGAACAGGAAACTTAACCAGGCTTGTTAGGAACATGTGGAAACTGATTAGCATGTGTGAAGCAAATGCAATGTTTTGAAGAAACTGATTCCATGTTGCTTATTTTAGTTTTAGTTGCACACATAGCCTCAGTGCTACCTCACATATTACAATGAGACAATCTTTTACTCCTATTACTCAACACTTCTAGGTTTTCTACCCTGCTCACTGTTTTACCATGTTTAAGATGCATGGTGAAATCATTCAGCATAGTTTTACCATGTATCTAGGCTATTTAAAGCCATGAGTCATGGTAAATGAGTTGATGTAAATAAATAAATAAAGTATTCCGCAGAAATATGTTTGATAGTTGCCTTTTTTCATGGAATTAGGTTACTTTTTATGCACAACTGCAGGAGAAAGTAAAAGGCCATGTGATAAGAGTAAACAGTTCCTGCTACTGCTAGGCAAAGTGGATGTAACATATCTGTGCCCGATTAGGCAGGTAAATCTTCGAGACCTCAAATATGTACCTGCATATTTAGATATGGTCAGGACATGTTGGAGCTTTGCATAGAGTTGCTTATTTGATGAGATAAATACAAAATTCAATTTAGAACGTTATGCACTGGTATGTTTGTATACCTTAAAACAAATAAGCGTCAATGCAGGCCATTGTGGGTTGAATTGGATTGTTAAGATTGTATGTGGAAAGAGTTAGTTTTCTTATTGTGAGTAATCCAGCCTACTGTCTTCATGGTACATCAAATCAGCAATCTTGTCTTGCAAAAAAAAGTCCAGAAAGATCCAGAAAAGCATATCTTCAGTTCAGTGCTGTAGGCACAGTGAAGGGCTAAGTGTGGGATTTGTTTATTCCATGTAGGGGTCTTGACCATTGATGAATGGGGTAAAGAGAGCCAAAGCTAATGAATTATACAGAAAAACCAATGGAGTACAATCTGTTATTGTAGATCTGACTTGGATACATCCAGATCTTCTGATATTAGTTACATAGGAATAGAGCACCTCAGTGATTTAGGCATCTGCAAATACATAGTTTATAAAAATTGTGCAAATTTTCTATTTATGGTGTTTGAATTGTGTTCCTGATCAGATTTCACCAGCCACAAGAAACTGATGGGTGAGACTATAATAAAGATGAAGAAATCAACATTCACTCCCTCATCATCCTCCTTCATAAAATTGAAATATGGCTCAGTGCTACACACATCTTTTATTGCATCCCTTGGCTCCGAATACTGCTTAAATACATCCTTTTTCTGGGCTTTACTCACATTTCAATCACATCTACTATGTTCCTTCAAGATAGAACTGGGACACATATCTTTTTTTTTCTCGTTTGGAGAAAACGGGCTGTTATGGGAACACTGTGAAGACCTCTGCTTACTGTTCCTTTGTGGTATGGACAGAAACCAGGGGAAAGAGGTGGCTCTTCCTGGAAAAAAAACCACCCCTGCTTCCAGGCTAGGCAGATTTCTGTCCACACCACACAACCATTGTAGGAGGCCTTTGGCGACTGCTTTTAGTCAGAACCACAGACCAGAGAACCTTCTGCCAGTTTGGTGAAAAAATCTCTTCTGTCTCAGAAAATGATTGGCACAAAAAAAGTAAAGAAGCAAGCTTGCTATTTCACAAAATGTGAAAACCATCATCATGTGCCACAGAAGTAAATCAGTACAAAATGTAGTTAAAAAAACATAACTAAAATATGCACAAGAATAGAATGAGACAAGAATGTGAAAATAAACTTTTTGTATAAAAAAGAAAAAAAAATTGGCTTGCATACTGTTGAAATTGTTTGTTAAAAATATTGACATTAGTTCTTGCATATGTAGAAAGGTAGACTGGAATGGCAATAATAATGAATGGACAAAATAGGAAGTAACATTTTTGGTAGAAGTTTAAAATTAAGAATTTGTCAACTCAGTTAAATAAAATAATTCATAAAAATCCTATATCTTACACTCTCAAAAATAAAGGTATGAAACTGTCACGGGGCAGTACCCTTCTTCTCATTGGGGTGGCACCCTCAAGGGTACATCTCAGTACCTTTAGTGAGGGAACATAATTGTTCCATAATCCACTGAAATTATATTATCTAATTTGTATCGACTCCACACAGCCCGTCTCATCTCCAGGCTTTTTATTTTATTGTTCTGTTTTAAAACATTAGGTTATGAAAAGGTACAAATATGTACTTTTCATCTGGAAAAACGTATTTAAGGTTCACAATTGGACCTTAAAACCACTGTTGTACCTTTTAGGATGCATTTGCACTGTTTGTACCTTGATGAATGAAAAACGTGCCTGCACTGTACCTTTATTCTAACAGTGTAGCATGCATAGAGGTATAAAGCTGATGTGTAAGCAGGGAAGGACCCTGAAGGTTGTTCAGGAATCCTGTAGTCCACCTGCACTACAAAGGTTCATATTTTCCTGCCCTGATACACCAGATTCAGCTCAAAAAGCACTTGATTTTTAGCTGAAAGGTAACACAGAATACAGAAACAAATTGTTGCAGTCTAAACCAGAGTAGCTTTAGCCTATATAAAACAGGCGCTTATACCGCCCTCTAGTGTCGATGATTAAAATAATGCCCTGTAAACAGTTGGTGTGCCACCTAACTGTCTGTGTGCATGATTCAGAATTATTAATTATTATTAAAATAAAAACGAGAGAACAATATCAGCATCAATGCCACGCCCAGCATCTCATGAGCCACGCCCACAATTTTCCCGGCAAACAGAAAACACTGATGAAGGCGTATGTATTGCGCTTTAAACACATGCAGTGGTTAAAACAATCACTAACGGACAAATACATTGACAGTAATGTTAACTGCGTTGACGCTCGTGTGCGCTTACAACTTAAATACATTCTTAAAATGAATGCAAAGGCCTGGAGTTGTTTTCCTCCATGTGCCTATTTAGATCCATTCAGAAAGATTGTTATGGCAAAAGCGCCGTCAGGACAGGATAAAACGTGGATGTATTAAAATAATTCAGGCTTATTTTAGGCTGTTAAAATAAACCATAAGCCTCGCGCGCAGGTAACAGGTGCAGAGCTATAACGAATATGTACCTAAAAAAATAAAAACACGGAAGTGACGTTGAGGCTCACGGGACTCGGATTGAACCATTGGATTACAGTAAACTGAGGACGAGAGGGGAGAGAGAGGAGAGAGAGGAGAGAGCAGCAGAAATCAAACGGTAAGAAGGCGTTTTGTCCTTTATTATAATTGTTTCGAGCGTATAATTTATTGTATGTACGTTGCTTTTGTTTTTGTGACACCCTGTTTTAAACAGACACCCTGTTTTAGGCTGGAGCGGTTAGTTAACGTGAGTGAATGGAGCGGCAGAGCCGCTGTGTTTTCATGTTAACGTTACTGCTCCGGATTACTGATGTAGCCTAGGAGACCTAGCTAACGTTAGCTAGCCTGTTATACAGCCCTCCGCTGTATTTAGAAAAATAAGACTTTAAATGTGGCGCTTATTTACTTTCAGTTAGTTATTTACTGTCAGGATGCATTTAAGATGTGGCGACGAAATAAACACCATTAGATTAACTCGCATCCAGAAGACTGGGCACATAATTCTGCTGTAGTAAGGACATTAGTTAGTTATTGCAAGTGCTGATTTATACGCATTTATTTCCCTTGATTCATCCTTAAATGTCGTCTTTTTATGCCTGCAATACAGCCTTTTATAGATTATGCTAGTCGCCTCCTCTTCTGCAGTGTGGCAG